AACAGAGACACAGAAACAGAGACACAGAAACAGACACACAGAAACAGAGACACAGAAACAGACACAAAGAAACAGACACACAGAAACAGAGACACAGAAACAGAGACACAGAAACAGACACACAGAAACAGACACACAGAAACAGACACACAGAAACAGACACACAGAAACAGACACACAGAAACAGAGACACAGAAACAGAGACACAGAAACAGAGACACAGAAACAGAGACACAGAAACAGACACACAGAAACAGAGACACAGAAACAGACACAAAGAAACAGACACACAGAAACAGAGACACAGAAACAGAGACACAGAAACAGAGACACAGAAACAGACACACAGAAACAGAGACACAGAAACAGAGACACAGAAACAGAGACACAGAAACAGAGACACAGAAACAGAGACACAGAAACAGAGACACAGAAACAGACACACAGAAACAGAGACACAGAAACAGAGACACAGAAACAGACACACAGAAACAGAGACACAGAAACAGACACACAGAAACAGAGACACAGAAACAGACACACAGAAACATACACAGAAACAGAGACACAGAAACAGAGACACAGAAACAGACACATAAACAGAGACACAGAAACAGAGACACAGAAACAGAGACACAGAAACAGAGACACAGAAACAGAGACACAGAAACAGAGACACAGAAACAGACACACAGAAACAGAAACACAGAAACAGAGACACAGAAACAGACACACAGAAACAGAGACACAGAAACAGACACACAGAAACAGAGACACAGAAACAGACACACAGAAACAGACACAGAAACAGAGACACAGAAACAGAGACACAGAAACAGACACACAGAAACAGACACAGAAACAGAGACACAGAAACAGAGACACAGAAACAGAGACACAGAAACAGAGACACGGAAACAGAGACACAGAAACAGAGACACAGAAACAGAGACACAGAAACTGAGACACAGAAACAGAGACACAGAAACAGAGACACAGAAACAGACACACAGAAACAGAGACACAGAAACAGAGACACAGAAACAGAGACACAGAAACAGAGACACAGAAACAGAGACACAGAAACAGAGACACAGAAACAGAGACACAGAAACAGAGACACAGAAACAGACACACAGAAGCAGAGACACAGAAACAGAGACAGAAACAGAGATACAGACAGACAGAGACAGAGAGTACATGAGAAAGCTGTCAAACAGAGAACTTACAAACGCCTGCTTTGCTTACAATAATAACTATCGTCTGTTTTCTAGAGTGGATGTCAAGGATAGACAAGCAGAAGTCTCTCCCCCCACTCTCCATTCCCTCTAGCCACTTCAGGCTAAAAGACATGCCATATTATATGGGAAAGCTTACATGGAATTAACAGGAGAGATAAATTGAGTGGAAGACATAGTCTACAACTTTCTGTACACTATTAGTGTCGTTCCTGTCTTGAACCGATTTTGTTACTCCACTGTCACTCACACAGCTTTAAGATAAGATACGATTTTGTTAGGATTTTTAACCCGGAGGGTTAGCCAACCAGTATAACCCAAGAAAGTCAGTGTGTCATCGAGGACTGTCGTATTTCCATTGTGGTCCTTCAATCTTGTCACCCAGGATGCGACCCGTACCAGTCCACTAACACCCAGGTACCTACTTACTCCCAAGTGAACAGGAACAGCAAGTGTAAGGAAACACACCCAATGTTTTCACCCATGCCAGGGATCGAACAACGGACACTCAGGGTGTGAGGCGAGAGCGTTGGTTCTGATAGGATTATTATAATCCTCTAATAATAATAATAATAATAATAATAATAATAATAATAATAATAATAATAATAATAATATCTTTATTTACTACCAGTACATGTACAAGGTATACAGACCGTAGCTGACATCAATGATATACTACTGTATATAGAAAACCGCTTGTTATGCTGAGTATTTCCCGCAAATTACGTCAATTTTGTCCCGGGATGCGACCCACACCAGTCGACTAACACTAACACCCAGGTACCCATTTTTTTCTCATTACCTGGAGTTTACCTGGAGAGGGTTTCGGAGGTCAACGCCCCCGCTGCTCGGTCTGAGACCAGACCTCACGGTGGATCAGGGTCTGATCAACCAGGCTGCAAGCAAGCTGACGTACGAACCACAGCCCGGATGGTCAGGTACTGACTTTAGGTGCCTGTCCAGTGCCTTCTTGAAAATAGCCAGGGGTCTATTGGTAATCCCATTATGCAGGTTGGGAGGCAGTTGAACAGTCTTGGGCCCCGGACACTTATTGTATTGTCTCTCATTGTAATCGTTGCGCCCCTGCTTTTCATTAGGGGAATGTTGCATCTCCTGCCGAGTCTTTTGCTTTCATAGGGAGTGATTTTCGTGTGCAAGTTTGGTACCAATCCCTCCAGGACCTTTCAAGTTTATATCATCATGTATCTCCCTCGCCTGCGTTCCAGGGAATACAGATCAAGGACCTTCAACCGTTCCCAGTAATTTAGGTGCCTTATCGTGCTTATATGTGCGGTGAAAGTTCTTTGTACACTCTCCAGGTCTGCAATGTCGCCAGCCTTGAAGGGGGCAGTTAGTGTACAGCAGTATTCCAGCCTAGAGAGAGATAAGATAAGATAAGATTTTGTTCGGATTTTTAACCCCGGAGGGTTAGCCACCCAGGATAACCCAAGAAAGTCAGTGCGTCATCGAGGACTGTCTAACTTATTTCCATTGGGGTCCTTAATCTTGTCCCCCAGGATGCGACCCACACCAGTCGACTAACACCCAGGTACCTATTTGCTGCTAGGTGAACAGGACAACAGGTGTAAGGAAACGTGTCGAATGTTTCCACCCATCGGGAATCGAACCCGGGCCCTCCGTGTGTGAAGCGGGAGCTTTAGCCACCAGGCCACCGGGCCACCCACCAGGCCACCGATTTAAAATGAATCATCATGGGCTTGGCATCCCTAGTTTTGAAGGTTCTCATTATCCATCCTACCATTTTCCTAGCAGATGAGGTAGATACATTGTTATGGTCTTTGAAGGTGAGGTCCTCTGACATTATCATTCCCAGGTCCTTCACATTACTTTTCCGCTCTATTGGATGGTTAGAATTTGTCGTATACTCTGACACATTTTTAATTTCCTCAAGTTTCCCATATCTGAGTAGTTGAAATTTCTCCTCGTTGAACTTCATATTGTTTTGAGTGGCCCATTTGAAGATTTGGTTGATGTCCGCTTGGAGTCTTGCAGTGTCTTCGATGGAGGTCACAGCCATGGTTATCCGGGTGTCATCCACAAAGGAAGACACGGAGCTATGACTTGCATCTGTCAAAAATGAGGATGAGGAATAGAATGGGAGCGAGTACTGTGTCTTGTGGAACAGAGCTTTTTACCATGGCTGCCTGGGACTTTACTCTGTTTACTATTAATCTTTGTGTTCTATTTGTCAGGAAGTTATAGATCCATCTACCAACTTTTCCTGTTGTTTCTTTATCACACATTTTGTGTGCTATTACACCATGGTCACACTTGTCGAAAGCTTTTGCAAAGTCTGTGTATACTACATCTGTATTTTGTTTATCCTCCACAGTATCCAGGACTTTGTCATAGTGGTCCAGTAGCTGGGACAGGCAGGAGCTACCTGCTCTAAACCCGTGTTGCCCTGGGTTGTGTAATTGATGGGTATCTAGGTGGTTGGCGATCATGGGTGAACATAGACAACCGGTGCAAGGAAGCACGACCAATGTTTCAACCCTCACTGGGAATCGAACCCGGAATCACCATGTGAAACGAGAGCTTTTGTCACCAGGCCACGGGGTACCGTGACTGGTACTTCGTTGTCAACTGATCGTTGTGATGCAGCCACTGAACACACATCAGGAATCTGTTGACTTCACATTACCCATCTTTTAAATGCATTTGGTGGCTCACATACACTTAGTGCGGATTTAGTGAGTGGCTGAGATAACAAGTGTCTCAGGCAATATCTAGCTCCTGTCCTCCCTCACCACAACGTACACCTCACTAGTAAAGGGTATTATTGCACTTTGATATATGGGATGTCAGGATTTGGGATAACCTATCAATATTTACTTACATATCTGATCCATACATAGCTTTAAGAAGAGGCATGATAAAGCGCATGGAGCGGGAAGAGTGACCTAGTAGCGACCAGTGAAGAGGCGGGGCCAGGAGCTATGACTCGACCCCTGCAACCACAACTAGGCGAATACTGAGCATGTGGCCGTGAAGGCCTCATTAGCCTGTAAATTATTCCATTCTCCTATAATTATGTGATAAATAGTTTTTAAAATCGACAAGTTGAAGACTGAGACACTTATTATATAGGTATCTTTATTGAGGAAACGTTTTGCCACAGTGGCTTCATCAGTCCCTCAGCCAGGAATCGATGTGTTCAGTCAATCAGTCTTTTTACAAGACAGATGGACTGAACACTTCAACTCCAGGCTGAGGGACTGATTACCTCCTCCTCTCCTAAAACCTTTCTGCTTTGTATTGGACTGATGAAGCCACTGTGTGACCAAACATTTCCTCAATAAAGATTCCCATATGTTGCATAAGTGTCTCAATTCTTCAAACTGACCACTTCACTTGTATGACCAGAGCTTTGGTAAGATGGTGGGGAGGGGGGGGGTTATAATAAAGATAAGTGACCTATACCACTTTGATGTATCATAATACATGTATGTGTGAGTGTGTAGTGTCATTAATGAAATCAGTGTCATTGAAAGGGGTATAATATTCACCCATCAGTTTCACACAGGTATAACACGTGTATAACTCCCAAGATATACTATCCAATTTTTTTTCAAAATTGACCTAATTTGCGGGAAATGCTCAGCATAACAAAGGGCTTTCGAGAAGTATGTCATTGATGTCAGCTAGGACTGTATACCTTGTACATGTACTTGTAGTAAATAAAGATTATTTTTATTATTATTATTATAGGGTTGGTATTCCTGGCTGGAGGGCTAGGGGGCAAGGTAGTGTTGGCAGCCCTGACATTGTTTACACTCACTAACACGGTGAAACTGACTTTTCTTATATTATCTTTATTTTACAGTCATCCAGGCCTCCTCACTCCTCATATATGAACTAGAACATGTGATTAATTCGGGAAATATGGGAAACAGCGAAGAAATGAAGAAGAAAGCTGTTAAGAGAGCGAGGGTGGAGAGTTGTGGAGGCTGTATCCCCGGTGAAGGTAATGATGGAGATGTGTTGGTGAAGGATGGTGGAGATGTGTTGGTGAAGGATGCTGGAGACGTGTTAGTGAAGGATGGTGATGTGTTGGTGAAGGATGCTGGAGACGTGTTAGTGAAGGATGATGATGTGTTGGTGAAGGATGAGGCTACACACGGTGGAACTAGTGTTGGTGAGAGTGTGGAGGCCGTGGTGGAGGCTCCCTGGGTGGGTGGGTCCACCAGGGAGGTGGAGGTAGGCAGTACACCCCCCCAAGCCACCATTACTGACCTCACTCAACACTTCCAGTCCATCTTCGACAGGACCACCTTCAGGAGCTTCAAAGGTGCGTCACACACTTATTACTAATAATTTCTTCCACCCAGGGTTCCGTCACGCTGGTTTAATTTACCCCGGCCACGGCTGGCAGGGGTGTATCCTGGTAGGGTCTTGGCATGAGACCTGGTCACAGACCGGGCTGCGGGGGCCTCGAACCCCTGAATTGTTTCCAGGTAAACTCCAGGTAATAAACAAACTTCTTCTGTTTGACTGTATTACGATTAATTATACGGGAAGAGGGGGGGGTGATGATGACTTTCAGGGGGATGTTTCTAGGCAACTAGAAAACCCTCTTAAAATATATCGCTGCTTAGGGTCCATTCAAAAAATTTTATACCCATTCATTTTTCTTCCATTTTTGTCTATTGCAAAATTCCCATTTGGTCTACTTTGTCTATTCCAAGAATGTCTTGTATTCCCGTTATGTCTACTATCACTTTATTTAGAGAAGTTACTTTTACATAAAAATGTTACTCTTGTGTGATGATACATAAAAAAAAAATGTCATGTAGATGTTAAAGAAAATGTGATAATCATTATTATATTTTGTCCAAAGACAGGACCAGCAACCAGTTGCCCGAACATAGACATCTATTGAGCATGCAGTCATTCATGTCGTACATGTTGCAGCCTTGTTGTTAATTTACTTATTTGTTGTTAGATATCCATCTAATAGGTTTATGCAGACTAATCCAACCTATCCCAACCAATAAACTTGTCACCACTTGACTGCTAGGTCAGTAGCCTTGAATAACTTTTTCTATATAGCTTCTTGTTAGCCAACTTTTGGCCCAATAGACATTAACAGCTTTTGTTTGAGGAACACTCAATAAATCAATTTATTTCCACATCATTAGTACAAAATTGGGTGAAATTACATTTCTCACATGGGAAGCCCCTTAGTTACGCAGAGCATTTTGGGTGAACATAAACATAGCTTAGGTCAAGAAGGACCACATAAGACAATAATGATTTTCACAGTAAAATACATTACATGTATATTAAACAAATGTATATACAGCAGATAAAATCATAAGTTCCAAGGGAATGAGAACACTTAGATTATACTATATTAAGATAAGTCCCTTATTCAAAATGAACTTCTAATAAAAATTACAAAAGTGAAACTGGTTACCTGTATTATTACAGAATGTGATGAGATAGTATTTTACATGTAAGTATATAAGACATTAACCCTTTCAGGGTTACCAGGCCCTCTCAGAGACTTGTTCTCAGGGTCTGCCAAATTTAAAAAAAAATAAAATTATTTTTCTTATGAAAAGATAGTTTTCTTTCTAAACATTATTGGCTAAACAAAAAATTTTTACCATCAATACTTACCGAGATATGGAGGCATGAAGTTTACACAAAATGCCCGATATATGGTATCATCGCCGACTGCCGTCACCCGGTATTATTTGTTTTTGTTTTTTAGGTATTATTTTCTATTATTTTTTAATTTTCTTTTTTTCCAAGTAACTTTTATGGCCTGTGAGACCAATATTAGCACTATTTTATAATTTTTTTCTCTTTATTTACTACACAATAACTCCACAAACACTGTTGTCCTTATATTGTTTATAATTGTTGTTTACACACACAAACGATATAAAATGTTGTTTATTACTATTTTTCTATATTTTATATACACATATACAGTCACAGGGAATGTTTCTAGAAGTTCTGCAGCTTGTGGAAGTCTTTGAAACATGGTGTCATGCACAGTGGTGTTTTACACTCCTCACACATAAAACGAGTGTCTCAACGTTGTTGTGGGCGTTTTTTTGTATATGCACAGACATAACACCTCTTCTGAGCCTTTTTCTTGAAAGCAGTAGCAGGCAGTTTTACTAGGAAGTGATCACCATGCTTCAGACGAGAAGGTAGTTGTTGATAATTTACAGGGCGGTCTATTGCAGGTGTTGTTCCTTGGTACTAGAATACTATTTGTCTGATGATAGACAAACAAAATTCGGCATATGATGGTTTGTTTCTGGTCCTCATCTTATACATTTTATAAGCACTGAGCATGGAAATGTCCAGAAGATGGAAAAAGAGTTTTATGTACCACTTATAACTCTTGCGAACACAATCAGCAAACCCAATCTGCATGTCTCATTTGTCCACTGAGCACATATTGAGGGTGTAATCAATCACAGCTGCAGGTTTTAGAATGGGTTCATTGCTCTCTCTATGCTGCCTGCCAGTGTCTGCCATTTCATTAGGGTGAACTGATGACAACAGTGTGACATCTCGTTTGTCATGCCACCGAAATGCCATGATGTCATTGGCAGCAAACGCCTGCACCTCACCTCTACGAGTGCCAGCGTCAAGCCTGGGCATATGTTTACGATTTGCACGCACTGTGCCACACACACATCTGTCATGTTCACTCGCAAAAAATCACTGAGTGAGGGGCTTATGTACCAATTATCAGTGTATAATATATGCCCCTTACCAAGGTATGGTTCCATCATCACCAGAGATGCCCAATAACTTCCTAGTATTTTGCAATGTATAACTTCCAGTGTACACAGTAATATCCAATACAAGACCACTGTAACAATCACAAAGCACAAACAACTTTATACCAAAGCGTTTCCTCTTGCTTGGTATGTACTGCTTGAAAGAGTCTTCCTTTGAACAGAATCAAAGACTTGTCAATTACAAGCTTCCTGAAGGGATAAAAATACATATTGAATTTCTCTTTCAGATACACAAACACATTCCTAATCTTATATAACCTGTCGTTTCTGTCAGGTCTGATTTTGTCTGAGAAGTGAAGCATACGTAATAGTAGCACAAATCGATTCACTCCCATTATATCACTGAAACTTGGGGTTGCAATCAGGCGGTCTGTTGACCAGTATGATTTCAAACTGTGCTTATACACATGCGGCATAAGCATTATTGTGGCAAAGAAAAGATACATCTCAGCCATAGTTGTCTCCTTCCACCTGTGTAGCCGTGAGCTTGGTGAAAGTATTGTGTTTGCCATGGTGTACTCGTAGTATCTGTTGCTTTTCCTGACAATAATTTCCATCAGGGGTTCGTCAAAGAATAACTCAAAACATTCCAGTTCAGTGACATTGTTCCCCAGTGTACAACATGGCCGTATTCCACTTTGGCTTTCATCAAACTGGTGGGGATTTGGAACAAAATTGACAGCTTCCTGCCACTCCCAGGTGCGGTCTGCTGGTGGGTACTGGACAATGACAGGTGGTTGTGGTTGTAGAGGTTGTGGTTGTGGAGGCTGGTGTAGTGGGTGGGTGGGGGATGGTGGGTTTTGTTGTAGATCAGCTGAGGTAGCAGCGTGGGTGGCAGCGTGGGCGGAAGCATGGGTGGCAGCATGGCCCACTGCTGGTGCCTCACGGCCGGCACCACCACCATGCACATTTTCCATCCCAATTGCAACTATCATCGTCATTTTCACTGTCTGTTCCTGTTGTACAGCCACGGGATGTACTCCGAGATGTACTCCTTCCCCTTGAATAGCATATGGCACACTACCAGAGCACATATATCGTTGTATATATTGACACTTCACTGGAGAATATTCCACTTCACTTTCACTACTGGAACTGGTTTCAAGAGTTTGTAGTTCATAATCGCTATCACTATCATCTCCAATGCTCACATCTGAGTCCAGGATTTGGGAAAATAGGAGTTTCCTCTTTGATTCTGGTACAACTGAACGTGAACAAGATGGCCCAGCAGCAGAGGTGGAAGGCTGAGGGTCGTCTGGGTTTTCCTCACTATTACCGATATTATGGTCATTAGTTTCGGTCAAAACCTCACCAAAACCTTGAAACTCATCTTCACTGGCACTTCCATCTGTATTAGAACTGTCACTGGGGAACAAAAGTGTCCCAATTTGCCGCGGAGTGAGGAGCTTCTTACCGCATGGTGAACAAGGTCTACTAAAATGGCGTTCCCACAATGTGCCACTGGGTCCCAGATTTTTTTCTACTGCGCACACCAACCACACCCACCCATTCTCTCACACCTAAGCCTACCAGCCTTTTCCCACGAGATTTGAAGGCGCTAGAATTTATGTGTATTAGTACATCATGGACACTGGCGTGTAAGCCGTACTAGTACGGCCGAAACCCTGAAAGGGTTAAGGATATACAGTAAGACCCCGCTTTACGGCTTTCCGCTAATGCGGCGATGTCAAATTATGACCAAAATTTGCTATACGGCAAGCGGTCTTTCAGATACGGCGCCCCCACCCAGTTTGTTTACATTTTCTGTGACCACATCTATTATGTCAGGAAACTTTCCAGAATTTCAAGTGTTTTAAAGTTACTGCATATTTTATATGTACTCTGATAATTATACTTATGTGTACCTGTACCTAAATATACTTACACACTGTGCTGGTGTGCAGGTACACATTAAAATCGCTAAGTCTCTCTCTACTCATGACGCCAATACTACGTGATAATAATCACTCTTGGGCACACTAAATGTCTTATTTTACATCAATATAGGCATTTTCATTAATCCATCTATGAAATCCATTACATAGCATATAAACATGATACATACACTCAGAATAAAAATTGATGTAAATATGAGATTTGTTTACAAAGCAGCTGTGTAGGTAGTGTCGGAAGAATTACATTTTCTCTAGTCAAACACTGGGGGGTAACTGTAGAAAAATTTTCTTTTCGTATGCCTTTACTCTATGTATAGCAATTCACGACCCTTGTGGGTTTAGTGCTTTTTATAATAATAATAATAATTATTATTATTATTAATAATATTATTATTATTATTAATATTAATACTAATAATAATAATATTATTATTATTATTATTATTAATATTATTATCTTCATTCACTCTAAAAGTGGTGTGTTGCTGTTTGTTTATTCTGAACTAACTTGTACAACTTGTACACAGTGTAAGAGTATTTGTATTGTGAGGTAATTATTATTAAAATAAAAAACTATTGAGGTAAATGTTTTACAAACTCTTACAAACGTACGCGAATAAACTAAA